TACTTGTAATTTATTGTGGCATGAGACGAGATGGGGAAATTTTTGTTTTAAGTGGTATGGATATATTTAGCATATTGAACCACACAAGTGCTTAATTCATTTGAAGTTATGTAATCTTTGTACATATAGGCAGTATTTTTCTGTGAAACTTCATATTGCTGAAGACATACACTAAGAATTTATGTAGATAATGTACTTTTACGGGATGTACAAGTAAGTGTCTTATCTGTAAATGTTGTAAATGTTGATGAAAATGCAAATGGGGTTAATATTTTAAGAATTCTTTAGTATACTTTTGGGTGTGACTATTACAAAACGGGATGCTGGCAATGAAACAGGACATTGAACACTATTGTATTTTTATTATATGTAATTTAGTAATATGGATATAAATCTTGTAACTTTTAAAATTATAATGGAGGCTGTAATCATTTTATAATCTTGTTTTTAATTTTAATGCAAGTACACTGGTTTATATTTGCACAAAGTATTGATATGTGATGTATCGAGTCACAAAAGGAAGCTGTGACGCTGTCAGTATGCATTTGGCTCCACAACATCTTTTTTAAATGTATTTGGATTGTTTTCTATGTGAAACAAACAGATTAACCACCTGTTGTAGTGACTGGTCTTTTTATATTTAAGCAGAATCCTGTAAGATTGCTTGTCTGTGCTTTAAAACCATACCTTTGAAAAAATTTGAAGTCACAGAATAGCGGTACCATGGTGTTACACTGCAGTTGTGTCTGAATTACAACGTGCACAAAGAATAAATTAGCATTATTAAAGAGTCCACACTAAACATTTCATATAATCACATTGAAGAACTAGAACATTCCATAGAGTGAAATGGTTCAAATTTCTAGTGGAATTCTTCATTTTGTTGGCCTTATTTTATGATGATTTTCATATTTTTTTTATTTAGAGTATTAACATATGGCCAAAATAATTTAGTTACTACCTCATATAAACAATATAATGGTTACTATACATCACAGGAACTTAGTTTTGGTTAAAGTCATTTTTGATTGCTTTTTTCCAATGGAATATGTATATACCAAGTTTTAGCAAAATGCACACTTTTGGCTGTTTTTTGGTATATGGTCTTTATATTTTAATGTGAGTATATACACTAAGAACAAACTAAATTGTGATTTATGGTCTTCATTTGTTTTAATTGATAATATTTTTAAATATGTTCCTGATTGTATATAGTGTAAAATAAACATGTTTTTTAACATGCTGTTGTACAGTAGCTTGTTACCTGGCTTAATCTATATATAGCAAAACTAAAATACATTGAGAAAAAAATTATAATTATATTCTGCATTAAAATCCTTCAGTATTCATTCTGCTTCCTCAGATTATCTCTTTTTTAATCTAAATTTCATAAGTAATATTCCGACATAAGAGAAAAAGGAAGTCTATTTGTAGAATCTTAAGCTTCCTGATTAGGAAAATCAGTTAAACATTCGTAGTCCTTTGGTTAGAATAGGTGTTGTTAAATGATATTCCTTAGCCCATTCGTACTCACCACCTGTTTTTGTAAATAAAGCTTCTATTAGAACATACCAGGTATACATTTATGTGTTGTCTGTGGCTGTTTTGGCACTACAGTGGCAGAGCTGAGTGGTCACACACACAAAAAAATGTATGGCCCACAGAGCCTAAAATACTCATCATCCGACCCTTTATAGAAAAAGTTTGCTGGCTCCTGGGTTAGGGAGGAAGGGAGAGCGTTAGGGACTACATAGAGTTCCGCAGGTGAGGAGAGGGGAAGATAGGTGGGAAGGACTGACTTGGAGGTCAGGAAGCACCATTTCTGTTCTTGCTAACGCCACTGCCTCTTGTGACCTTGGATAATTTACTTGACTCGGGAAGAGTTTTCTTATCTAGAAATGTAACTTCTAAATCATACAGATGTTAATAATCATAGCAGTTGTGTGCGTTTATTACTTTTCCCAAATTCACTGTGACCAATCTTAGCATTAATGTCTGTTTTGAAAGTGCATTTTTCCAGTATAACATCTTCAATTTGCTGAAAAACAGACTCAATGGATTTTTGAGAAATCAAGATTCCGTTCTCGGCATTTATTGACAAGGTTGTTGATCCTTTTACTGGGCAACTGTTTTTCCACGTCTCTAAGTCCTGTAAGTTAGAGAAAGGGTCACATCTCAACAAAATTTAGCCATGACATTTAACTGTCAAGCACTTACAGATATTTCCAGGAAATAAGGTATACAACTGGTCATATGTTACCTGTGGGCTTTAAAAAGATACAGAAACCCTAGAATCAATCTTTGGAGATGAGGCACAGTAACCTGTATTTTGATAAAGTTGTAAAAATAATTCTAATGTACAGCCCTGTATGAGAACCACTGGTCAACGCTAAATTTAAAATAGTGTTTCTGAGTGTGAGCCAACAACGGCATGCCTCCGAGGGACAGTCCTTAACGATGAGTGAAAAGAAAATGCAAGTTTGGAGTCTCCACCTAATAACTTTTGACCAAGGATTTTTATTCACTCAAAAGGAAGAGAGTCACTCAGATGTTTGAAACAATCAATTTTATCTCCATTAAAGTTCAGTTCAGTATTTTGATAGCTACTTTCATAGACCTTGGTGTTGAGAAGAATGAGATCAGTTGTTTCTGGGCCTGTTGGCATCATTCAGCTTGCAGGTATGTTGCTGATTTCAGTAGAGACCGAGAAATAAAGGACAGATACCAGTTTTTACTATTACTAGAAGAAAAGATGGAACTGTGTGCTGAACAAAACAATGGGTCCACACTAAGAGTATTTAAGGGGGTGTGATAACAATACTTACCCAATCCATGTATCTGTGGCAGGTACTAGTCTACATTCTTTACACAGATTCCCCCACTGAAGCCCCAGAACAGCCCAGTGAAGAAGGTATTGTTAATGCCATTTTACAGATGAGGAAACTGAAGCACAGAAAGTTTAAATAACTTGCCTAAGAATATAGCTGGTAAGTGGCAGAGTGAGGATTTGAACCTAGGCACTTACTATTATGCCAAACTATGTATTACACAGAATACATGCAGTATATCCACTCCCCTCTAAAGTACACCCTAACACTTTTTTATCCTGAAATTTATTTTCTCCAAGAGGGAATTGGACTTCAAGTTCTGATTTTCACTGTCTGCAACAGGAGAAATTCTTATTCTTTGCTTTCCTAAAAAGCATTTTCCTTGTTAAAGCATTTTGTTATGAAAACAAAAGGATTTGCATAAGATTAGCTTTACAGTTAAAGCTTATTAAGTCTAGCCCTACCTGGTGTAGCTCAGTGGATTGAGCACCAGCCTGCAAACCAAAGGGTTGCCAGTTCAGTTCCCAGTCAGGGCACATGTCTGGCCAGGTCCCCAGAAGAAGGTGTGTGAGAGGCAACCACACAGTGATGTTTCTCTCCCTCTCTTCCCCTCTGTCAAAAAAATAAATCTTTTCTTAAAAAAAAAAAAAACGCTTTATAAGTCTAGTTACAACTCGTTACAAAGACTTTTTTTTTTACTTTTGTGAGGTAATTATTTAACCAACACTTAATAATAATCCTTTACAGTGTATCCAGACACTACTGGTGCTGCCGAAAAGATGGAAAAGCTATCATTCCCAGTATTCAAATGGCATATTTGGATAAATAAATTTAAAGAGAGGTGCAAAAGGTTGTACCTAATTCTGTTTTGGGAAAAGGAAAACCTCTATAGAGAAAGTTAAACACAAACCGGGCTGTTAAGAAACGAAAGGAGTTTATCAAGTGCAGGGGAAAATCAGAGTAGGTACTGTAGACAGACGAAGACGTGCGAAAATGCTGTGTTAAGTGCAGCTGAGCTTAGGGTACATGGAGCAGGTAATGGCGTGAAGCTAGAGAACTAGGATGGGCCCAATTGCGAAGAGCTGCTTAGAAAAGTAGCTCTAGTAATCAATGGTTTTGGAAACTGCAGAGATAAAACAACGAGATGAAAAGAGGCCTTTGGGTTTGTATGTAAAGTTATCACTTATATCCTTACTGAAATTGTTCTACAGCAGGATAAGGCAGAAATGGTACAGAAATGGGTAGATGTGAGTTTATGCAAGTTTGAGTACTGTGGAAATATACGTGGCCTTGGAGGAGGAAGGAGATAAAGGTTGTTTCTAGTTTGATTTCTAAAGATAGGAGGAGATTGGAGCATATTTCTAAGCAAATGAAGAAAATGGAAAATTGTAGATGAGAAAAAGAGTCACCTCAGAAAAAAATGGAAATAGAGACATCCTAAATCTGGGCACGATGGAGAGCATTTTATCAAAGCGTGTACATGCTCATTAACAGCATTTTTAAGTTCGTCTTGGGAACAAGAAGGGTAAACTTTGCCTATATATATATATATATATATATATATATATATATATATTTCCGATTTGCCTCGTATAGCATTCATCACATTGTTTGCTCGACTTGCTCCCGCACTGGGTGTCAGACACGTCTCTTATTCTATCGGCCCAGAATACTAGTACAATGTTTGCTGAATTATGAAAATGGCCGCAAAATACCGCACCTAATTGCTGATTGTCACGGAAAAGCCTACGGAAGTTTGCTAAAAATTTATTTGGGAAATAAGGAAGGACCGAAGAGTAATGACTTATAATAGGGTCTGCCAAACTGAGCGTCTTTGCCCCGGTGTGAAAACGGACATGTACTCCACGCTTACACGTGCTCAATTTTAGTGCTTTTAACGCCTTAGAATGGAACGGGGCTTGGTATAATGATAGTGTTCATGGAAAAAGCAGTGTTTCTTGAGCGCCGCCTTCCGAGCATCTTCAAGGGTTCTCGGAGGAGAAACCGCTGTTGCGTCCACACGCTGAGGTGCTGGGTTTGCCCGAAGGTGACCCACGGGGATGTGAGCCCGGGACGCGGGCTTCCTCTGCGGCAGGCACGGGAAACCTGCCCCGGAAGCCGCTCTGCCCCGCTGAGCGTCCGGTTGCCCCGGAGACGCTGCAGACGTTCAGCTCCAGAGTTGCGGCGCCTGCTGCTGGCTGAGCAGAGCGACCGCGCGTCGTCGGACTTGGGACTGCTCAGGGCGGCGCCACCGTAAGTGCCAGTCTGGCGGCGGGCGCGGGTTGCTGCGCAGCGGGACAGGTGGGATGGGGGCTGGCGGCGCGGGGTTCATGGAGAGCGATGTGGCGTCTGCATGGGGCTCCCAGACGAGGGAAAGTTGCCGGAGAGGAGAGCGGGGCTGCCTTCCCTCGGTGGCCTCTGGCGGGACAAGAAGGCGTGAGGGTGAGGGGCTAGAGGTGACAGAGGGCTCCCGCAGGCCATACGACCGAGTTGCTGGGGCACCCTGGCGGGAGGAGGAAGGGGTAGCCCTGGAGGAGGACCAGCCCTCGGGTCCAGGCTGCGGCGGCTGGGGAGCGAGGGGCGCCCCCGCACTCTGGGAGTCCTGGGTGTGGCCCCCAAGCTGGGCTGCCCTTCACAGAAGGGTCGGGACTAGTTTAGCGGCCTGGAAACAAAGTGGTTTACGCCGAACTTTCATTCCTGTTATGTGTGCACGTTGAAATGTGATTTTTTTTTTTTAAACAAAATTCGTTTCTTGAACTGTGTGAATCATATGGTCTTACAGTTCTCTGGGGATGCTTCCAATTAATCAATTGTTCGTTATATCACCAAGAGAAGTTTATAATCAGGTGTGTGTATTCTTGAAGTTCTGTAATTCTGTTTTATAAAACAGACACAGAATGGTTTTTTAGCCCGTTTTCTATTCAGTTCTATTAAATATAAATGCATTTGGTTGCACTGGGAACAAAAGCAACAGCGCAGATTGTGATTTCTAACCTGCAGAATCCGCAAATGATCTGGCCTGGTCTTGAAAAGTTTTCCCCCCACCCCCCACCCCGCCCCCACCTAACGCCACAGTTTACATGAGTTTCCTAGAAACTTAGATTAGGAAATTAATATGTTTTCCGCCCCATTTTTCTCCCTTTCTAATTTTGTTTTTCTTCTCCATGTATCCGTTAGGCTTGCTTGAGCCCTCGGGACCTGGTGTGTGACACAGTCATGAATATAACCTGCCCACAAGTGTTTTCTCTGTTTCAATCCTTAAAACAGGAAATTAAATAGAAAATTTTTCAAAAGATTTAACAACACACTCAAGTATCTATCTCTGTATGTCTTTCTGTATTCACCAACTGGCCCAAGTCTGTATGTTTTTGCTTTTGTACACAGAACTTCATTAACTTAAAAGTCAAATATTTGGTAAATTCTGAAGTCAGGAGGCCCTATAACCAAGAGGCATATGGCTTCAAATTGTGAAGATCACTAATGATGATGGGAAGTGTTTCCAACCAATTGCATCTATTCTCTGCCTAATATACCTCTATCAATAGTTTTTTTTTTCCTAGCATCATTAGGATTCTCTACATACAGTATGCATGCCATTTCCAAATGAGAGTTTTTCTTTCCATTTCCAGTGTGTGTACTTTCAATTAATTTTACTTGACCTGTGGCAAGAACTTCCAGTACAATGTTATACACAAGTGGTTAACTACAAGAATGTCCCAGTCTCACAGGGGGCACAGGATTCAGTCTTTCACCAGTGAGCATGATGTTAACTGTAGGTTTTTCTGCAGGCCTTCTGGGAAGGATGTTGCCTTCTATTTCTAGTTTGATGAGATTTTTTTTAAATCATGAATGGGTTCTGGGTCTTGTTAAGTGCTTTTTAAAAATATGTATCTGCTGAGATGATCCTGTATTTCTATCTTTTATTCTATTAGTATGTTATTTCACATTATTGATTTGCAGATAAATTAAACTTCGCATTCCTCAGATAAGTCCCACATCATCATGGTGTTTAACTCATTTTATATATTTCTGCTGATCATTTTGTGAGGATTCTTGTGTCCTTATTCATGAGAATAATGACCTATAGTTTTCTGGGGACTTCTTCATCTGACTTTGTATCAATGTAATATGAGAAGGGACCAAAAAAACCTGAACTTATTTATTAAAAAATTGTATATTTATTCTTACATGTTTAAACTTCAGTCACCTTCAAAGCACTCTCCATTTGATGCGATACACCTATTGAGACTTTTTTCCACTGCTCAAAACAGTTTTTGAACTTGTTGATTTTGGTGCCTTTTGGTGTTTCTGCCCTTTTTTGTTTCACCTTTTCCACATTGGCAAAATATTTCCTTTTGGGGATTTTATTTATCTGGGAAAACCAACAAACAAAAAAAGCCACTCGGGATGAGATCAAATCAATAGGGAAGGCGGGGCCATTTTTGGCGTCAGGCCATTTTTTGTGAAAAACTGAACACTCAGTGCGGTGTGGGCAGGTGCACTCATAAATCACCCATCATGAAATGGGCAAATGCATTGAAAGAGTCTTCAAAAAAAAGTCACTGAAGCCAAATGCAGCCTCTCACAACAACGCCAGCTGGTGCACTGACACAGATGGGTTCCTGGAACACTCACCTAGTGGGGGAAGCCTGTACTACAAAGGGGCCTGCCCTCCAGAAGGTAATACTGGGGTTTTTCAGAGGGGTCCCTCCTCGTATTGGCCTTACAGAATGAGTTGAGAAATGTTTCCTCCACTTCTGTTTTTTATTGTGTTGGTCAAAAAGTTCATTTAGTTTTTTCCATAAAAGGCTCTAGTAGTGCTTAGTTGTCTTTAACTTCACTCAAAACAATTTTGTTAGATTGTATTGCGACAGCTGTCATATCAGAGTGCATTTTAAAAGAACTTATCAAAATTGGTGAATTTTGTGCAGCCATATAAATATTGAAGATGGAAGAAGATACGCAGTATTTTTGGCACATTATGCTTTATTGTTTCAAGAAAGGTAAAAATTCAACTGAAGCAAAAAAAAATTGTGCAGTGTATGGAGAAGGGGCTGTGACTGAGCGAATGTGTCAGAAGTGGTTTGTGAAGTTTCTTGGCACTATTGACATTTGGGCCAAATAATTCTTTGCTGTGGGGCTGCCTTATGCACTGGAAGATGTTTAGCAGCACCCCTTGCCCCTGCCCACTAGAAGCCAGTAGTGGGAGATAGCCGACATACTCAGAATATCCAAATCAATAAAGTTATTGATGAAAATTTAAAAATGTGCACTTTGTTTTATGGAAAAAATAAATGGAGTTTTTGGCCAACCCAATAAAACAGTTTATGGAGGACTGGTATTAATTTTTCTTTGAATGTTTGGTAGAACTCACCTTTGAAGCTCTCTGATCCTGGGCTTTTCTTTGTGGGTAGAATTTTAGTTACTAATTGAAATTCTTTATTTGTTATGAGTGTAATCAAGGTTTCTATTTCTTCGGTCAGTTTAGTATTTTGTATCTTTTTAGACATTTGTTCAACCATATTGTCTCATTTGGTTGCATAGAGTTGTTCATAATACTCTGCTTTAATCTTTTCAGCTTCTACAGGGTGGTCCTGATTTTGGTAACTTTTATTTCTCTGTTTTTTCATAATCTGTCTAAATCTGCCTCAGTTTTAGCTTTCCTCTTGGCCTTCTCAGGTTTTCCCCATATAGGCACATAATTAAAAGTTTTCTGAGCCCTGGCTGGGTTAGCTCAGTGGATTGAGCATGGGCTGCAAACGAAAGTGTCGCAGGTTCGATTCCCAGTCAGGGCACATGCCTGGGTTGCAGGCCATGACCCCCAGCAATCGCACATTGATGTTTCTCTCTCTCTCTCTTTCTCCCTCCCTTCCCTCTCTAAAAATAAATAAATAAAATCTTAAAAAAAAGTTTTCCGAACACAGTCTGTGGTAGAGTTGCCATGTGTTACATGAGTGTATGTGCTTGGGTAATAGTGGTAGTCATTTACCCACGTAAACGCTTTCTCCGGTCCTGTGGTTTTATGGTGGTAAGTGAGGGTACATGGTTTCTTTCTTCACTGAGATAGCCTGTAGGCAGGAAAGACCAAACATTAGTGAAGTTAAAAAAAATACTCATTTGAAATGAGGAGTTTTTTAAGTGGTCAACTCTTTTTCTAAGATTTAATTTATTTCTTAATAGCAATTTTTTTTTAGATTTTATTTATTTATTTTTAGAGAGGGAAGGGAGGGAGAAAGAGCGAGAGAGAGAGAGAGAAACATCAATGTGCAGTTGCTGGGGGCTGTGGCCTGCAACCCAGGTATGTGCCCTGACTGGGAATCGAACTTGCGACACTTTGGTTCACAGCCTGTGCTCAGTCCACTGAGCTACGCCAGCCAGGGCTAGATTTAATTTATTTCTTTTTAGAGAGGGGGAAAGGGAGGGAGAATGAGAGGGAGAAAAACATCGATGTGAGAAAGAAACATCAATCAGCTGCCTGGACCAGGGACCAAACCCACAACCCAGGCATGTGCCCAGACTGGGAATGGAACCAGCGGCCTTTCGCTTTGCGGCGTGACACCCAACCAACCAAGCCACACTGGTCAGGGCAGAGGTCAACTCTCTACTTCAAATTTTATTAATACCAATACCTGGATAGAGCTTTATTGTGCTCTATCTTCAAATTGTGCTTTATTTTTAATTAACTGTGAGGTAGTATAGTGTAGTGATTAAAATTGTGATCTTTGAAATGTGACTGCCTAGGTTCTAATTCCATACTGGCTTCACTGTGCTTCAGTTTTCTCGTCTGTAAAATTGGGTAAAAATGACTCCTACTTTATGAAATATTTGTGTACATTATATGTAGTTTGCATAGAACAGTGTTATTAAAAGCTAGCTATTATTACTAAGTTTATAATCAAGATTCTACTGAGTACCCTGGCTGGCGGGGCTCCGTGGATTGAGTATAGATCTGTAAACCTCTCAAAGGGTCAGCAGTTCCATTCCCAGTCAGGGCACATGCCTGGGTTGTGGGCCAGGGCCCCAGTGTGGGGAGTGTGAGAGGCAACTAACATTGATGTTCCTTTCCCTCTGTGTCTCCCTCCCTTCCCCTCTCTCTAGAAAAAAAATAAATAAAATGTTTAAAAAAAATTCTGCTGAGTAAAGTGGGGTGGGATTTTTAAGACTAAAATTTTTATATTTTTAATTCTTAGACTGACTTATTTAGTTATGCTGGCCTTATTTGTAATCTAACATGTAGTCCAGTCACCACAAAATTTATAAATGGCTGGTGCAAGACAGAAAACTTAAACCCAGCATTTCCATAGAAATCACTATGGGTATGAGAGCGTACGTGAAGGATTAGAGAAATCTGCCTTCTTTTTTGTCTTGTTCCTGTTTTCTTTGGGAGCTAAGAATGTAAGGACCTGTTCCTTCATACATATAAACGCTAAGCACGATAAATAATGCTCTAAAAAGATGTTATTGTTTTTAATGGCTTTAACAGTCCGCAGTGTCTCTTTCTTCTCTCTCCACCAGGTGGAGGTATAGCACTTTGTACGGTGTCTTGTTCTCAATTCTTCTCGTCTTGGCCATATTCACACAGGGGGGAGAAGAGAAACACCATATTCAAGAATATGAAATACTCATTCAGCTGGATTTTACAGCATCATATTTTAATCATTTACTAGAGGATAATGAAAACAATGGATTGGATAAGGTTCCTTTCCACAATTTCTTTGAATTCAACTGGAGTCAACACAGACTCGTTATAAGAAACAGCATATGAAATTTTTCAGTAACTGGAAGAACTGCATAGTACCGAGCTCAACTAACGAAATAACACCCAAATATTTTTAAGTGTATTTAAAATTAATCAATGGAAAGAAATCTTTGGCATCCTTAGCAAATTGGTTTTATATAATAATCGGTGAGAACATCGTCCTTGATGAGCTGATGAAGCTGAGCCATCTTGTTTTCCAGGTGCAACGCTGTACTGCAAGTTAACCAATACAGTAATTTGAGTCACTTCTGCTATCATGGAAAAGTATGAAAAATTAGCTAAGATTGGAGAAGGGTCTTATGGCATTGTATTCAAATGCAGAAACAAAACATCTGGACAAATGGTAGCTATTAAAAAGTTTGTGGAATCTGAAGATGATCCTGTTGTTAAAAAAATAGCACTGAGAGAAATACGTATGTTGAAGGTAGGTTAACTTTATGTGTCTGTAATGTCCATGGTATTGGGTGAACTATGTGTGCCAAAATTACAAAGAATTTTTAAGTGATTTCTTTTTCTATTGGACTTTTAAATTCCTTTGTATCAGTAACTTGGGGAAACAAATTGATTTTCACTTTGGACTTTAGCCACTCTGATGTTTAGCTGGCATTTATTATGAGTACAGCTGTAGATTGTTAAACTATTGAAGTACTTCCCTTCTGGTTGGTAAATCTCCACTGTCCTACATCCCCTCATTCCCCACAGCTGTGCCCCACCATTTCTCACCCCACCCCCCACATAAACCAGCAAATAAAAGAGCATCTGCTGGCACAGAGGGGCCCACAGGAGTGTGCCGGTGGGGCTGCAGGCATGGCTGTGGACCGGTCCCGGCTGGGTCCCACTGGTCCTCAGACATACTGAAGGTCGCCCCAGCTGTGTGTACACATTGCACTCAAAGGGCTGGTCATAGTTGTTTCTACTCTGGTGGGAGTTGGCGTGTACGATGCATAAGTTCTCAGTGTAAACATTTCCCACCCTAAAAATCTTACAGTTTTAGAACCTTACGTGACCTAGAGATGCTTCTCACCAGCACCTTATTTCATCAGAGAGGAAGCCCAGCTGGAGGGCAGCACTGCTCAGGCGTGCAAGTGCACTGCCTTCCCCAGGGGACCTCGTTGGAACTCTGGCTCTGCCTTGGGAGGGGCGGGGGGAGCCTGAGATTCTGCATTTGGGACCAACTCCCAGTGGCACAGAAGCTCCTGATTCATGGACCACACTTCGAGTAACAAAACTCTTATGATTTCAAGAACACACAGCCAACTTTTGCTTTTCACATGTCATCTGCTTTAGGGAACCCCCAGAAATCCAGTTTTTAAAGGGATAATACTTAATTATCCATCTTTTTCAAGAAGTATCTGTAGCGGGTTTCCTCAATGAGTTCCAGTGTTTTGTTTAAAATATACTTAGATATACACGGATTTTTTAAAAGTGCATGCATCATGATAAAAAGCAGTTCACTGACCTCATAGCCCACAGCCAGCTCTGTCACAGCTAAGTCGTGGGGTGTGTCTGAGCTGGGCAGTGGTTGTTTTCCAATAAAAGTGATGCTTTTTAGCTGCTGCAGCCCCCAAAATCTCCAACTAAAGTTAATGCTCAAGTCGTGCCTCCGAGGTTACAAGTTCACCGACTGAAGGATGGACTTTTGGGTTAAAAAGCAGCCAGATTCCAGCTCAGCTTGGTCTCTGGTGACGATGATTCTCAGGGGGCACCCTTTCCTGCTTTTGGTAATTACACCCAGGTATGCTCAGAACACTTTCCTTCCAGAATATAGATCTACCACACCTTCCTCATATCCTCCAGTTACTTAAATTTGATTGATTTCCCCCGCTCCCTCCTTACTACCTGTTTCACTTTAGACAAGTCACTGTTTTTCTGGGCTAAATTAATTTCACCGGCAAATGAGCTGTAAATTGCTGATCTACCCCAAGGTGGGTCTGGCTGGGTCGAACCTTGCCGAGGCATCCAGCGAAGGCATCTGTGAGTCCGTCGCTCTGCTGGTAGAGACACTTTGTTGTTTCCTGTCTCCAGCTCTGGCTGCAGCACAGAGCAGCTGGATCACCTGCCCGTGTGGCCCGTTTCCTCCGCTGTTTGCCTTTCTGACCTTTTAGGCAGTAGAGCTCATAGGAAAAAAAAATGACTTGGTGCTCTGGGAATATTTTTCACGCATAACGAATTCCCTTTTCCCAAACTCCTGAGCAGCAGGAATCGCCACAGGCTGATGTTTTTCGGAGTCAAACCACGCCTGCAGATGCCGGTTAGAGGGTGTCGTGTAAGTCCTCACACTTAGGACTCTCTGCTGGGCCTGCAGGTTATTTGTTGAGCTTTGCTGTGTACACAATACTGTTCCCCTTTTTATATATCCTTCTGAGTAAATGGCATAGGGTTCGGGAGAGTGATTTTTCTGCTATGGTGGGAAACCAAGAGGGAAGGTGGGTCGTAAGTTAGGAGTGATCAGACGTCCTGGTCTATAACCAGAGTTGGTCTGATCAGCATCGTCTTTCAAAATGTCCTGGTTTATACACTAAGTTATACAGTGCCCCTAGACACAGGCTGGGTGGCCGTAGGTGCCAGTTTGCCTGGGACAGCCCTGGCTTGTACTCACTGACCTGATGGGATGATCAATCATATAGTCCCTGCAGTGATGGGTTATCTTAGACGATCCTAATCAGGGTTTTCCCTTGATTTACAACGTTAAGCAGAGGCTGACTTGTGAAATGCCTCAGTTTGGGAATAGAATTTAACACACAAGACACCTAAGCAGAGGAGAGAACAACAAAATCAGAAAGCAGAGCTGGAAAATGACAGATTAAAACCAGACCGACGGCGGGGACTCCCAGAATAGGAGGTAACCGGACGTAACCGGATTGGAAGGCTGGGATCAGTCCCCGAGAGTCAGCCCTGGCGTCCGGACGGGGTTGACGTCCGGCTGACACTTACACTCAGTCCAAGGTGATATGTCAGCTAAATGGGTATTGATGGTTTCTATAGCCTTACACAGTAATTCCATTTCCTCCATTCTTTCTTCAGGTTATTTTATGACTTACATATTTAGAATTTCCACAAAATGCTAAAGTATTTTTAGTGTTAGTATACTTTGTTTTCTAGAGATTCAGTTTAGTTATCGTCTGTTATGGATACGTTAGAAAAAATCTTAAATTTTTCTTCCAACTTTAAGATTCGTGATTCTTACTAAGGATAGTTTCTCTTGTAAGTAACTGTAATAACACTCTCCACAGGAGATGTATAGAGATGATAGGCAAGACCTTCTGTTCTTAAAATTGTAAGGGATCTGGGGAGAACTCTTACAAGAAACAAATCACCAAACGATGTATTTCAATTCCTTTGCAGCAACTAAAACACCCAAACCTTGTGAACCTTATTGAGGTGTTCAGGAGAAAGAGGAAAATGCACTTAGTCTTTGAATACTGTGACCATACACTCTTAAATGAGCTGGAGAGGAATCCAAATGGGTAAGTAGTCTGGAAACGGGGCTCTGTGCAGTGGGGCCCCTTTCACATACGTGGGATTAACTGCGGCAGACCTCAGGTATCGCCCCACACAGTTCCCCTTCCTCCCAGACGTGGCTGCTGGCTGCCCCTCCCATCTCAGCATTGGCTCAAGGCAGATGAATGTTAACCTGGAGTGAAAATGATTGGGGAGACACATCTGCATATATAAATCATGATGCATTTTGGGGCTAAATTATGTATTGGATGTCTGAATTCAAGGAATGAACTATGGTGCAATATTAGGAAATCTATCCACATAATTCGCTAATAGGTTAAAGGAGGAAAAAACGCATGTGGTTGGTAAAATTTGAAAGGCAGTTGAGAGTCAATATTCTTTTCTGACTTTTTTTAAAGCTTAGCAAACTAGGGTTAAAATAATTCCTTAGCATACACACACACACACACACACACACACACACAACCCATATTCAAATCAACTGCTAATTTTTTACCCCGCACAAAAGGAGCCACCACTGAAGCGAGAAACGAGACAAGGACGTCAATCGGCACCAGTATAATAATGTAGCATTGTCCTGAGAGCTCTAGCCAATGCAATGTGAAAACAACAATTAATAGAATATATGACTTTTGGAGACAAGTTTAGCTTGTCGTCATTTTCATTATATTCTGTGAAAATCTAAGGGAATTGCTTAAAGAGTTAATAAAACAAATAACATTCAGTGTAATGGTTACAGCACCCCAAATTTCACACATGGCGAGGTCTTGCTGCTAGCACCATATGCCTGAGTCACACATAGGCCATACCGCTGTTCTGGAAGGCCAGGTACACCTGCACGATTAGTTCGGTTTTTAAAAAGTAATCTAAACATACTTAAATATCCAGACATGATAAAATATTAGAGCCGAGTGATGAGTGTGTTTGGAATGTTAGGTAATTTTAAATTTTTAATTAAAAAGCTTAGAGTAGATATTTGGTCAAAGAAACCTTGTTTCAGGTTTTTCAAAATATGCAAACAGCAATCCCGTCCCGTGAGTAGGTTGGAAGACCAACAACACACTAAGGAGAATAGTTGCAGCGTATACGCAGACTCTGATGTACACTGAGTCTTCGTAACTCAGTTTAAAAAGGAGTAAACAGACCAATCAAAAAAGTGAAAAGCTATGAACAGTAAATACACCAAAAAAGAAACATAACAGCCAATAATCATGTAAAAATTAAATTCACTAATTAAAGAAATGCAAATGAAAACTAAAATCTTTTTATTTTAACCGCAGATTGGCAGACACAACACCAGCAAAAACACATGAGGAGATAGGGACTTCAGTGCACAGATGTTTTGTGGGAGTGGGAGTGGGTCACCCTCCCTCAGAGAGGGCAGCTGGGCAGTGAGTAACTGTGAAGGTGTCATTCATGGGAGGGCGAAGTGAGCAATGGAAACACATCAACAGAAAAGTTACAGTCTTGCTGTGATTGCTACAATTTGTGGAGATGGTTACACGAAGCACACTACTCCACCAGAGTACTCCCCAGTTCCCCCATGAAAGATACACCTGCCAGTGGCACTTTCCAGGATCTTCCACACAGAGTAAGGATTCTGCAGGGACACAAGCTCCCAGGGTCCCATTCTCACGGGCTCTTGATTCCCCCTGGCTTCCCAGAGTGCCGGCCTGCTTACCAGGCGTAAGGCACTTTTACAAAGCCACTCCAGCACCTGCTTGCGTGCTGACCACCAACTCGAACTGGATGAACTGAAGGTCAGTCTTCAAGCATACCTTTTTTCCTGCAACAGCAGACTCAGGTCTACCTGAAGTTCATCCCCACAGGGTCAAAATGTAATGTGTGCCTGCATTTGGTCCCGGAAATCCCACTTCTAGAACTTACCTTAAAAGGTAATTGCATAACTGCAGTGAGCTGGATGATCACATATATTCACTGAAGTGTTGTTTCCAAAAATAAAACGTAGGCCACCAATTGCTCATCAATGGGGACGAAGTAAATGACGATACATCCGTAAAATGAGACCCTTTACAGCCACACAGTGTGTGTGCTGAAGTCCCTGTTTCTGAAAGAGGCAGGGAAGTCACAGAGGGTGAACCGGCTGGGTCGGCGGGTCTGAGAGAGAATACTTCATAGAGATACTTGTGGGATTTTTAAGTTTTAAACCATATGAATATGCTTTTTAATATTAAAATTAAAAAGTAAACTCCCACACACAGAGGGGAGAGGAACAGTGTGGTGCCTAAGGGGACCGCCACCACAGGCCACAGCAGCTGTTTGGGGCAACAAGACTTGAGCGAACACGTTTTATTCCTTTACTTTTCTCTGTTGTTTGAATTTCCTGTTAAGCATGTGTCATTTCTACAGATGTAAAAATTGAAATTTAGAGAGGAAATTATGTAATTATAATGAAAAAGAATAAAGCAATTTCCATTAAACCTTTTTTTTATAAAGCATTTTCAAGGCACCCTCTGCTCTGCGTTCACTGACCCTCACGAGCCCCGCTCATGCCCTCGCTGCTCCCTCTTCTGCCCCCGGGACCCCACCCAGGAGTCTCTAATGTGCTTTGCGGTGTTTTTCCCTAGAATTGCCGATGGAGTGATCCAAAGTGTATTGTGGCAAACACTTCAAGCTCTTAACTTCTGTCATAAACACAATGTAAGTGACATTCTCTAACGCATTGGTTCATTCTTCATGATGATCCTTCTACACGTAGCTCAGGGGTGTCTTCAAAGAGCTAAAAACGGGGGTCAGGGAGCGGAGTAAGAACCAGAAGAGCAAACCAGAAGAAAGGTACAGAATATGAGGAAAAGCAACGCATTATTTGTGGCCTTCTTCCACTTTCTGTAAGAACCAAACTTCTCATTCCTTATGAACCGAAAGTTTGTATAAACTTACTGTTTCTTTTTGCCTTAGTACTCATGATTCCTCTGATTGCTTTTAAATTGGATTAAAATAAGTTTTCAGTAGCGTAACCCATTATTGGCACTTGGTTTTGTTCTCTTTTTCTGTCTCTTCAGTCTTTTATTCTGTTACAGTCCCCCTGCCCCCACCTTTTTAAAAAAAAAAACTGTCATCATTAATTTTTTAGAGCCCTAGTTCTCCAGCTCCTGGAGGGCTGGTTGGGACAGTCTCTGGGCCCGCCCCCAGAGTCCCTGGTTCCATAAATCCGGGGTCGGGCTTGAGAGCGTGCACTTCCAAGCGTTTTCCTCACTGATACAGGAGCTGCTGGTCCAAGAAGCACACTTGGAGCATCACTGTTCCTGAAATCATCTTGGCTCACTGTGTCCTGTTCTTTCACTTGTATTTCCCGTAAATTGGTATATCTAGAGGCCTGATCATTTTCAGGCTCATATTTTTATATGAGAATACTTCGTGTATAGTGCTGTACACTTCTCATTGGGTTGACACCTCTAGTGTCCAATGTCTGGCTGTCCCACTCTCGGGCGTCTTAAAATAGACTTGCGGGTTCAGAGGTTCTCGTTTGATTTTCCTCCATGATCAGCTTCCCTGTCAGCATTTTACGGGATGGTTTTAGCATCCTTAGATGATTATTGCCTGTAACCAGCATTTCATTAGGTTTAAAAGGTGGCATTTTTCTAATTCTGTTATTCCTTCTGCATTTATTCATTGGAATTCTATGGAAAAGAGCTTATCCTTATGGATTCCAGCCACTGTAGAGCAAGATAAATCTGGGATTATTTCCTGTACTTATCAATACAAAGAGTAATGAGTGTGTGTCTTAGCAACATCCAAGAGTGAACAATGAAGGGATATTATGGAATGTGGTACATAATTATAAAATTAGGAATTTTATATATTTGATGTGTTTTAATCCTTTGCAATCATTGTTCTCTCTGATGTTCAGATTGCCGCATCTTTGGTTAGCAGGAGCTTCTTGTTAGAGATACACTGAGTCTAGCCTCATCTAGAGTTTTACCTCTTACAGTTAAAATAGGACCCAGAAAAAAAAGCAGAAGAAATCATTGTACCATACTACCTTCCCTCCCGCCCCCCAAAAATCAGTTTCCATATTCAACCATCATTTCCTCACTGATACAGCTACATTTTGATTTTTTCTTTTGATATGATGAGTAAAAAATTACCAATTTAAGTTCTTTTAGAAAAATGAAGAAAACCCATATTTGTTTTTATCTCACAGGCTATGTGTATCATTTAAACTAATAGTTCATTTCTTTTTGCTTTGTCATTCTGATGGCTCAAAGGAATAATCAAACATTATCTTACAGTGCATTCACAGAGATGTAAAACCAGAAAATATTCTGATAACTAAGCAAGGAATAATCAAGATCTGCGACTTCGGGTTTGCGCGAATTCTGAGTGAGTAGCCACTTGTTACTAACTTACCCAGTTCAGGTGATTATGCAATAATGGAGTTGAAATTCCTACTTGAGATATCGAATGTATGTTACATGTTATATGGTTATTGTTTTAAAAGGAAAGCCTCACTTTAACCTTGAGTCACTACATTAATTTGTACTTCCAGTCCGCTCCATTCAACTGGAATTTATTCGATGTTACATTTATATACTCTCCCCCTTGGGAGAGGAAAAGAGTTATAAGATGCATTTCTGCTTTTTGTGCACTTGGAATCTGAAGTAAAAAGAAAAAAAAAAAGTATTACTGCAGGATGATTGGCAGTGAAGTACCGAAGTGAAGGTGCAGCTGGTTCCCTAGAGAGAAACAGTAATGATGTGGGCCAGAGTGGTCGGGAAAATGCCTTCCTGGGGCTGGTGGGACTGGAGAGCAAACTGACCGTCGAAGAGGGAATTCGGACAGTGCTCAGAAAAAGGACATGATCCCAGACAGGGAGGAACCAAAGGTACAGAGGGACAAATCGGTGTTTCTCCACCAATCTAGAACTGTGCAGCAGGCAAAACCTTGCATTAGCAGCACGCGCATCGCAAGGTGGTGTGTCCATAATCAGTGTCCTCGTAGGACCCAGGCCCAGGTGACTTGGCAGTGCGTTCGGAAGTTGGTGTACACTTGAAGTCACACTACAGAAATCCTCAATCTCACGGCCCTCTGTTTGGGATCATACAGATATTAACTAGCTAAGGTGTCTTTGGAAGTTGAATTGACTGTCTGAGTGCACAGTGTAACTGTTTACTCAATCAGTGCCTCACTTCATTAACCGCTCGGAGTATGTGGCCTCTGAGAGTGTTTGGAGCTTACCTGAAGGCCTGACCTGCTCTTGGGAGTAGGCCACCTCCTGGGAAAATGTGACCCACCTCACCTGATCCATGTGTTTGCAGTCCCAGGAGATGTCTACACTGATTACGTCGCTACAAGATGGTACCGAGCTCCTGAACTTCTGGTGGGAGATACGCAGTATGGTTCTTCAGTCGACGTCTGGGCTACTGGCTGCGTTTTTGCAGAGCTCCTGACAGGCCAGCCACTCTGGCCTGGAAAATCAGATGTGGATCAACTTTATCTGATCATCAGAACGCTGGGTAGGAGCTGCATTTTATGGCTTACAGAGTTGCTGGGTTGTTATAGTAATAGCACGTCACTGTAATGAACCACAGGAGCTTTCTTGCCTTGCCGAGTGCTTGCTGCTCAGGATGGCTGTTCTGGGCTGCAGCCAAAACCCAGCCCTTTCCTCAATGTGTAGCGCCAGCACTCCTCTCACTGAGTTTTCCGATCCTTTCCAAGTCAAGCCACTTAGCCATGGAATAAACTATACATTTACTTTCCGTATTGAGCTAAGACGGGGCTAAGGATATGAGTCAGCTGCCTAAAACTCACTCTTACGAGGCATTGGATCAAATGCAGTTTCTCTCCACTGTAAAAGAGGGTTTTCCTCCGTTACTCCAGAGCAGGGATCGGCAAACTTTTTCTATAAAGGGCCAGCAGCTAAATAATTTAGGCTTTGCAGGCTACCCAGTCTCTGCTGCAACCCCTCAACTCTACTCCTTTGGCACATAAGAATTTACAGATCACCTTTGCATGCACCATCTCTTTCAGTCTTAAGAAAAGCCCATCAAGGACGGTGTAACATTTTCATTGTGCCTCTTTTAGAAATGAGAAACTGAGGCTCAGAGAACTTCCATGATGGGCCTGAATCACACAGCCAGGTCAGTGCAGAATAGGAACAGGGCTCCAGGGGTGTCCTTCATCGTGTGTCAGCGTCCTCAGCAGTTGTCTGCTTCCCCCTGGCTGGAGGAGAATAGAGCCCGAAAGGTTAGCCGCACCTTCACTCTGGCACCAGGGCTGCCAAGGAAGTGACACATCTGCTCACGAGATGAACGTTCGTTCCTTCCTGGCCACGGGCTCTCCTGGCAGCGTGGGCGCTGGCCAGGGGAGCCACTGCCTCTGGTCTGGTCCCAACACATTCTTCTGGACAGCTCTGAGGCATGGAAAAGGGGGCGTAGAGTTTTTCCACAGAACGCACCTAAGTGTTTATCGTTTCATTTCCTAGATGGATTGTGGAAATTTACATTAGGCAGATACTAGACAGACCTGAGTTTGAATCCTGGGTCTGTCACGACATGTCCATGCGACTTCAGACGGGTTATTAAACCTCTGGGCCTCGTTGCCATCAATACAGTGGAGCCAAAAACCAGCGGCCATTCTGAGTAGTTATGAGATTAGATGAGACAGTGTGTGTAAAGCCCTCCGCACCGTTTTCGTCCCTCCGCTTCTGGTGGAGGCCGAGTGGCAGACCGAGCCCCGCGTGGCCCAGGGCTGTGTGGGCGCACTGGCCTTCCCTGAGAAGGACGTTTCCGCAGTGACCCAGTCCTCCCAGGGCTGCAGGTCGCACACAGTCAGGGTCAGTGTTTCTTTCACAGCTGGCCCTCAGAAGTTAACCATTTAAACACTGCATTGTTTTTATAAACTTAACATAAATCACATGGTTTGCATTTTACAGGAAAACTAATCCCAAGACACCAATCCATCTTTAAAAGTAACCAGTTTTTTCATGGTATCAGTGTACCTGAGCCAGAAGACATGGTAACTACTTGATTTGGGTTGTTTTCTTTTTTATGCTGCTACTTTAAAGGGGTAGTTGTTTTTCATTTTTGTGACTTTAGCCTCTGTTTCTGTATGCCACACTAACACAGATCAAAGAAACTATATAAAAACCACATAAAATGAATTGGAGAAAATGCTTATCAAGTGTACTTGCCCTATCCAAAGGTTAATTTAATGTTAAATTTAAAGTGAAAATATCTTTAGTTCCTACACAAATACCTGATCCTTTCAGTTAAATTATTTTCCTGAAATAATTATTATGTCATACACAGTATTTACAGTAGTACTCCTTTATTTTGGGGTGGAGGGGGGAGCATTCTCTATGTTTTCAGCATGTGAAACAAAGCTCAAATCAATAAAACCATTTGTTGACAAGGTATATTTTCACATGGAAGGTCATTCTACAAAATGACCCTCATGTGTCCAAATCAGCACCCCAACCGCATGCTCCCCTCCACGCTCTGGCTGTGGGCTTTGCCTTTCTTTGGGAAGGTATCAGTTGGACCCGCTTACTCCTGTAGACATTGATTCCCTGTCTGCACTACCTAAGTTTGGGCTGTGGCCTTTAAAACTCCGTATGGTCTGAATTCTGCCTGTGGAATGAGAGCATTGTCCATGGGCGTGCATCCATACGCCAGCCCTGCGGGAGCCGGAGAGGTGCAAGCAGGCGAGCGCCTGTGGAGCCAGATCCTGATTCACGGGCGTGGACAGGCTGTGGTTCAGGTGGCCCCCGCTGTTTCTAGACGCCCTCTTTGTTTTGAGTTTATATCATGTAATACCTTGATTTACATACTGCATTTCTTTTACTAAGTATAATAAAAGGTTAAAAGTTAAGTTACTGGGCTAGAGGTTGAATTACAAAAGAAAATGTCATTTAAAGAATAAAACAACAAATTCACAGGTACCTGCTGCCTAGCTAAAGAAGAATGTTATCATTCTCTTTGAAGCTTCCTCCTCCCCACCGACTTCTCCTGCATCCCGCCCTCCTCAACCTCGCCCCTTACTACTCTGAGTTTTGTCCCTTCTGTATTGCTCTTACACCCGGAGTTCAGTGTATTTTCACGAACGCTCAAAGCATTCCCGTAAGTGGGTCAGGCACAGATAGTGTAGGATGTTGCAGTCTGTCAGGAGGGGACGTTTGGAGCCCACATTTACCAAACATCAACAGCAAGACGTGAAATTAAGAAAATCACTCCAGTTTTTTACTTTCAATTCTTTACACTATAGTGTAAAATTACATTAAAATATGAATTTAAAAATCTTTAAAAGAAATTAACCTACTAGGGGGTCTTATTTAAAGTATTCTTATTACTAATATATTCTAAATATGCATACATTGTTTTTATGTACTATTGAAAGTCTCTACTTTGTTTTCTAGGAAACTCTTGAAGAAAAATTCTCAGAGGCTCATCCTATGACTTTGAATTTCATGAAGGTACTTAAGAATCATTTATAACTGTTACTGACCACAGATTATAATGATTGAAGCTGGTAACTCTGGGAGGAGCAGACAGTGGTGCAAATAATGCCAAAGTGGAATGTAGTCATTGAAAATGATAAGGAACTGTAAAATCATTACAGTTAAAGGAACATCAATGGCGTATGCAGTAATCTTTCTAACCTATTTATTAAAATTAGTAGGAGGTAAAAGAGTCTATTTAGGGTTTGCTGTTATAACACTACTACTTCTTTGTACTCATTAGAAATTTGAATATTAAATTCGTATATTCAGACTGTGGAAGCTTATGAGGATGAATGCCACTTCCTGAGTTTAAAGGTCCAGAACTGCACTGCCCAGTACGGTGGCTGCCACATGTTACTGCTGAGCCCTTGAAATATGTCCTGTTTGAGTGGAGATGTACTAGGTTTCTTTGAAGATTACTATAAAAAGAGTGTAAAGTATGACTATTTCATTAATAATTTAAAATAGGAATTATATGTTGAATTGATAGCATTTTAGACATATTGAATTAAATAAAATTTTTAATTATTTTTTTAAAAGCTAGCAGACCAAGCCGAGTCTAGTAGCCGAGTATGGTGTCTACACGGCCGAGTCAGAGCCGTGTAGACACCATAGTGTGTAGCCTCTGCACCAGCCCGAGAGAGATCACCAAACCTAGGGCAAGTTCCAATAAAAAACAGAAGAGACTCACCTGTGATCATCCACTATCCATGCTCGACCGAGGCCGTGCTAGATGTGACTCTTTCATCCAAAGGGGATACTAAAAGCCCTTAGGGGCTTAGGGATGGTGCTACCAGTAAGAGTATCTATCTTTAACAATCAATTAAGTTCCGTTTATAGCAGCGGTTTCCATGCTACTCATCAGAATGACCTGGGAGCTTTTCAAAAACACGCATTCCAGTATCCAAACTCAGGTTACCAAACTCAGGATCCAAACTCAGGAAGTAGAATCTCTGTAAATAGGACCTTAGAATTTATGTTATTAAACGTCCCCCTAGGTGATCATGATGAGCAGCGTAGTTTGAAACTCATATGATCTAGAAGGTGGAACCATCTAGACGACCTATGGCCCACTCAGACCTGCCCTGGTGCCAGTGCCGGGTGTTGCGAAGGTGCTATCCAGGGTGCTGCTGGATTCCTTCAGTCTGGGCCCTGCTGAGGTTCGGAGCCTGACACCTCTGGGTTCTCCGACCGCCCTCGCGCCTGTTCCACGGCCTCAGCTGTCTCCCACCTGTCTCACTGCTATGCCCTGCCTTAACCCAGCACTTTGCAGGTCCTTTCCTGGGAGCCCAATGTTCTGACCTTGCTCAGGACAGGTTGCTCTGACCCACCTACAATTTAACAAAACCCAGAGCAATTGGGGTGGGGGACATCAAGCACTACACGCCCATCCCACTTCCATGTTGTGGCCAGGCCTTCCTGTGGTTTCTCCTCCAACTGACCAGAAAACTTCAAGGGCACAGAAACTCCAGGTAGAGGACAAACTCCCTGTCCTCATCTCCAAAGGTGGCGTGCATGCCCTGTTGGTTGGCCCGAGATGCCGGGCGAAGCTAGTTTTGTCCCTCAGCTATTTGATTCAGGCTCATAGTGTTTGACCTGGGACCCAAGAACTCTCTCTCAAGTGCATCAGGGATTGTGCTAGTCAGTGAGTCACACCCTACATCCTAGACTCCTACCCCATGTTAGACAAAGGCAGTCTTCCTTTCATTAATTGCAGCTGAAACATCTTTAACAACAAGTGAGTACCAGCTACCATAACAGGTAGTTATCCCATGGGACTGGGTCAGAATCTATACAGGGAACAGCTCAAGTGGGTGAAGTGCCAGCCAGTGGCAGTGCCAAGGACAGTGGTGGCATGCAGCGGCATAGCTTTTGTGTTCTGTTCATTAGGTTTAAAATGAGACAGTGGGTACCACATTTATTTTTTATTACCATGTCTTCATAGCCATTACCGTCCTATCTCTAGATCAGTTTCATCTGGTCATCAAGAAGTCTGTCAACTCGTGGCAATTTTGTTGAAGGGCTTTTTGTGAAATTTGAAGTCTCTGGAAAAGGATCCCAATGTGGACTTTGCAATTCCAATTTCTTGCCCCTCATTTTAAAATTTTTCCCAAGTTAGGAACACTTTAGTCAGGAGCACCTCTGAGAATTCATCAGCCTCTTGGTGTGCAGAAAGTTGTTAATCAGGCAGTCAGGAGCTCAGAAGCCTCAGCTCCATCCAGTCTGTCTCAGCACGCCGACAGCTAGTCTGGCAGGACATCATTCCCGTTCGCAGTCTCTTCTTTAGATCTAAAAATTCTCTTAAAAAAAAAAACATATTTTGGGACTAGAGAGACCGAAATCTAGCCTCTAGTGATCGACTAGATTTCAGTAGACTGAGAGTCCATACAAGGAAGTGAATGGATTCTTCAAGATAGAATTGGAAATGAAGTGGATAGGACCTGATGATTGTTTAGGTCTGGCGCATGAAGTAGAGGAAGGTGGCAGAGAGGAGGTGTCTGTGTCGGTTTCCTGGGGCTCTCATAGCGAAGTACCCCAAACTGGGCAGCTAAAAACGGTCAAGTACATTCTCACAATTGTGGAGGCCGGAAGTATAAAGCCAAGGTGTTGGCACCCCCTCCCGTCCCCACCCCTCTTGTCTCTCCCGCACCATGCTCTCTCCCAGGCTTCCAGGGGAGGGTCCTCACTGGCCCCTGCCAGCTCCGGGTAGTCCCAGACATTCTTGGGCTTCTGGGAGCAGAACTCCAGGGTCTGCTTCTGTCTCCACATGACGTATGCTACATGTATCTGTCTTTGCAGGGTCTCCCCTCTCTCGTAAAGACACTGGTCATGTTAGAGTAGATCCCATACTACTTCAGTATCACCTCCTCTTAACTAACTACATCCACGGAGGCCCTGTTTCCATGTAAGGCCACATGATGAGCTACTGGGGTTAGGACTTTAACAAGTGTTTCTGGGGGATGCGCTCAACCCATAACAGTGCCCTTGAGACAAAGCAGAGATAGCACGTAGGCCCTTACACACGGGGCTCAGGATTTCAAAGGAGAGAGGTCTGGGCCAGGAACGTACCCGTGGAAGTCTCTGGGAAACCTTGACCTTTGAAGCCACTGAACATCAGTTAGATTAGCTGGACGCTTAGAACAAATGAGAAGAGAGGGGAACCTGGGACGGAGCCTTGAAGAATTTAATGCAGTCACTGTGGAGAAGAATGTAAACTAAGAAAGGCTGGTCTGAAACCAAGCAGCCAGGAGGTAGGAGGACAGAGAGTGAGGTGTCAGAGAAGCCGAAGGAGAGTTTCAGGAAGGAGGGCAGTGGTCAGTAGTGTCTAACACTACTGAGAGGAGACCTCGAAGTGCGGCAGTGGGTTGAAGGATCGGGAAGTAGAAGTCTTAGGCGTGGGTAACCAGAGCTGCTCGGGTGGAACTGTGGAGGCAGAAGCCAGAGTGCAACGATGAAGAAATAGAGGTGACCACAGTTATTAGCAAGTTGTAAGTGCCGGATAATATGCAAACCTGATTTTCTAAGCTCATGTTTGCTCCATCCAGTTATTATTCAGAGTTTCAGGACACAGTAACAAAATAGGCCCTTTTTAAAATATCGTCTTTGCTTTTCTCCCAAAGGAGTGTCTGAAGATGAACCCAGACGACCGATTAACCTGCGCCCAGCTCCTGGAGAGTCCCTACTTCGACTCTTTCCGAGAGGACCAAAGCAAAAGAAAAGCACGCAACGAAGGGAGAAACAGAAGACGTCAGCAGGTACCTCCGCACAGAAGTTAGAATGCTATAAAAATGATTTTTTTTTCCTTTTTCTACCTTTCCAAATGAGGCTAGGTGGACATGAAGACCTTCTCTTTGCACTGGTGTAGTTGTATTTGTTTACCTCATAAATTCTGGTTGATGTAATAAAATCATAAAACAATGAAAATATCTAGTTTGTTACAAAGTCTTATTCCAAATACTCTTACATCTAATGATTGCACAATTCTTTTGGACACCGATTGGCTATCCCACCTGCCAGAACATGAACCCAAAACACAACAGCTTCAAACACTGAAACCCCGATTACGGCAGGACTGAGTTCCCGCCGGGCTTGCGGAGGCGTCCCAGCACCTCTCTGAAGCCTCCGCTGTGCAGTGAAGCAAACTCGACTCCTAGGTCTTCTCACCCGGGGCAGGCACCCAAGTCTGCCTGTCTTAGATCTTCTCAAAGCTGAGGACAACTCTGGCCAGGTACAGAGAGATGCGACTCAGACGTCTGGGAACGAAACCCCACCCTCAGACATGCCGGTGTTGTAGAAAAGCATGGTAAATATGATGGCGGACGTTGCTTCTACGGGTGATCAGGTGACTGCCTTTACTTGCTTCCAGAAAACTTGGATGTTAAAACATAAGGTTATGGGAGTAAGGTCATTTGGGTTTCCCCATCCCCTCTTATATCTCCAGCACCTAAAACAATATCTGTCACAGAGAAGGTACTTAATAAATAGGATCCAAGTAACTAAATAGATGAGCATTGCTTATTAATAAGTCAGGATGGTAATTTTTAATTTGTCAGAGTCTGGTCTGACAATAGTCCCATTTGTGTTTACTTAATCTTTCACCTTTGGTCTACATTTTGGTCATTTATCTTCTCATTAACAGGTCACCATAAAGGAAGAAGGCAGTCTTTTCTGTCAACCATGTGATAGTTAAAGTAGAAGTTTGTTGGGAGGGAAAGGTCAAACTAATCAATAAGAAGAGATGTCAAGATGATTTCCATGTATCCAAAATCTCTGGGTCTCCAAATTTGTATTACAGAGGATTATTGTTGTTTTTTTTTTAACTTTTTAGAGGTTTTTTTTAAGATGTTATTTGTTTATTTTTAGAGAGAGGGGAAGGGAAGGAGAAAGAAAGGGAGAGAAACAATGTGCAGTTGCCTCTTGCCCACCCCCTACTGGGGACCTGGCCCGCACCCCAGGCATGTGCCCTGACCGTGAACCAAACCGGAGACTGAACCAGAGACCCTTTGGTTCGCAGACCTGTGCTCAGTCCATTGAGCCACACCAGCCAGGGCTGTATTACGGAGATATTTTACCTTTCTCTGTTAAAGTTATGTGTTTGCAAGTTAAGCCCAATACCTTTTACTTAACCAACAAATAAATGTTTGTTCAAATAAGTCTCAGGCAGCAACTTAAAAGACGGTGTGAATTGCCTGTAAAAACACTGTCCCCTTAAAAACTTCTCACGAGATTCCTCACCTTTGGCCTGGAAGGGTAGACAGCGGCACTGTGCCATCCTGTCCCTTGGTCTCAACTGAAGTTCTGCCACACTGTCCTCCAACGGGGACTGTCCTCCGGCTGGTTGGGGATATGCTCTCCCTTGCAGTCCCCAGTTCACAGCTGTGCTCCCCGTTCCTTACGACCCTCGAGCGCCCTGACGAAGATAGGGGGCTTTACAGAGACCTTCCCGGAGACCCAGGACAACAGGAGGAGGAGAAACACAGAGCAGCAGGCATCCAGATAACCTCGTTTACAAAGATTACACCACGTTCTCTGCCGTTAGTCCACTGCAAGCTGTCCCCCTCCGTGTGGCAGCCCCTGGAACCCACCGTGAGGCAGTGCCTGAACATCTCTGTCCCCCAAGTGCAGTCTCTGCAGAGCAAGGCCAAGAGCAAGAGGGATATACATGTCTCTCAAGTCCTGGTTTTCTTTCCGAGCACACACCTCTTTCCTAGACATTTTACCATATCAGGGGGGAAAAGTTCAGAAAGATCTTTTCATGCAGTGTGGTTTCATTTTGTGAGTTCAAATCTCTGCCTAGATACCAACTTCTAGATCTCTTGAGTGAATGATCAAGAAATTCCTTAAAACTAAATATTGTTTAACATTGATAGCAAAGAGGTTTTTAATCTTTGCTGCCCTGCCAATATCCTAAAATTTAAAATTTGGTGGGCAGAATGTAGAGTCTTAAGATTACTGTTTGATAGATTGTGGGCATCTGTTTTTTAGACAGTGACTAGACACTCCGAAGTTTGTGTATTGAAATAAACTAGAGCACATCAGATGAGAAGCCTAGAGTAACAGAATGTCACTTTCAAGTATCAGAATATCCCAATGTTTTGAAAGTATCTCTACTTAACTTTTAAATTCATGTCTTTTGACACCTTTGTACCATATGTATCCTTTTTTTGCCACCTTTAAATCAAACTGTACAAATAGGATTTGTTTTCAATTTACTTTCTTATTTTTGTCTTGTTCTGCTATTAGAATCAACTGTTGCCTCTCATACCAGGAAGCCACATCTCCCCCATACCTGATGGAAGAAAACAAGTCCTCCAGTTAAAATTTGATCATCTTCCAAACATTTAGGAAAATGTTCTTTCAAGTGGAAAGTAATTTAATATGTACACATTTTTGCATGAGAGAGATAGGAATTCTCAGTGTTTCAAATGCAAATAAGCCATAGGAAAATGAAGATGACTTCTAGAATTGTTCTGCTCTCATCATTACTGATTCCTCTGCCCGTGCTTTTCACATGCCGACTCTATCTTTTAGAATATTTTCTTGAAATGTTAGAACTTCTGAAACCGCACATATGGAGGAGATATTTTCAATTTCATCAGAGCTGCCCCTCTTGAGGCAATTTATATTGAGAATTTGCGTGCTTACTCTGATGTATGGATGTGAAGATGTACATATATCATCTTGCATAGCCGACTACATATTGTCTTAGAGCAATATCCAGTAGCTCTCCTCGCTGTTGTTTGTGTGAGGAATGACTTTATGTTTCTGCATTTTAATTTACTCTCATTGTAATCAGGTCTGTCGAGTGACTCTGCTGTTTTGTTCTGTGTGTTTGTCTTGGTGTAGGAAGGGAACCTTGACATGTCACCTAGGTTTGTTCCTGGACTCCAGGGCAGACTGTACTTTCTCTGACTCATGAGACACTGATGGTTCTATTTTTAAAGCTAGCTAGAGAAAATTTCAGACATTTATGTAGCAAATACTGGGCGAACTACAAGGAATTCCCATCCTCATAACAACACCCTGGGATAATCAACTGCTGACTCTCATGCTATCCTTTGGTACAGCGTGGTTTCTTATCCTCCCTCCTCCCAGGTCAATCTCAGGACCCGAACCTACCCATCCGCATGGGAATGTTTTCTAAATAGTGTATTATCAACAGTCTCTTCCAAACATTTGCATCCACAGCATCTATGAACCTGTGCAGCCCTAAACGTGTGCATCAGGTTTGTAAACGTTTCTGAGAGCAGGAAAATTATCTTTCAGTTAACTTCATTTTGTGTCTCTTAATGGAAAAAGGTGGGGGCGGGGCAAACAAAACACCTCAAAAGGCAAGCCCAATTCAGGTTGTGCTATTTTCCCAAATAAACTTGACAGAACCTACCTACCTACTACCTACATACATTATATATTTATATATGTATATATACACACATACATATACATATATAGTTCTAAATTTTGAAGCATCATAGTAGATGCTTTTTATCCTGGACATCTAAGAAGGGTGCAGAATATTTCAAGTGCCTCTAGTTTGCTCACAAGGAACTCATGTTGAAGCACAGCACAGGGCTGCCTGTCTCCGTCTGGCATAAAAACACCAAAGAGTGATGTTCCTATCAGTAAATATTAAGATTATTCCCTTCATTAACTCTTTTCTGCTCCTAGGTTTGGCGTGCTCACCCAAACATTTTGCAAATGCACCTAAGTCCAGAAATTTCTTGTACCTGACACCAAGACAATAAGCATCAAGTGTTTTTAAGAAAATGCAGTAACACTCTATCTTCATGTCTAAAAGTCGATCGTACTTATAAACCTGGCTCTGTAAATGCAGAGAAGCTAATTCAGTTATTAGGATCTTCAGGTACCTGTGCCTGACTTACCTAAATTCTTCCTAAAGAATTGTGGCATCTAAGCAATAGTTCATTGCTCACTGGAAGGACATTCTCAGTGGGCTCGTTTGGCCGTTTAACATTCTGAGTGTGAATATAAGCTGCTAGGGACTTCTTATTTTCATCTTGTTATCAGTAAGTGTGCCTCTTCAGAGCTGTATTTCTTAAATTTTTTTAAAGATTTTTAAATTTATTTTTAGAGAGAGGGGAGGGGAGAAAGAGGGAGAGAAACAGATCCATGGATCGGTTGCCTCTCGCACACCCACAACTGGGAACCCAGCCCGCAACCCAGGCATGTGCCCTGACTGGGAATCGAACCAGTGACCTTTTGGTTCGCAGGCTGGTGCTCAGTCCACTGAACCACACCAGCCAGGGCTATTTCTTGAATTTTTAATAAGATGATAACACAGGTGCAAGGAAAATGAAAAATAAAAGATAAAAGGCAACTTTGCTAAAAGATTTTATTTTATCTTTCATAGTGTTTTTATTACATAAGCCTCTTTATTGCCAAACCACTAGTGCTACTCCAGCTCTTGTGTCAGCATAACACAACACAGAGAGAAATCAAGACCACACAAGACTCCACAGTCCATTTTGCTTATGATTGTGCCTCAAACAACAGTGGAGTCTGAGGCAGAAGTTGGGAGGGTAATCGTCTTCCCTTATTTTTGCTTATATTCAAGCTAAATTCAAAGTAGCTTTTCTCAATTTTTTTCCTCAGACACATCCATCATTTATGTATCAGTGGTGAGGAGAAATCGGGTAATGCTTAGAAAAATGTTCTGATGCAGCCACGTTACCACGAAGCGGATAGTTTCTGATGACATTTGCATTCCTGACTTTCCCGGAGAGACCCAGGTCACCCAGCACTGCTGCTGCCTGAGTCACTCAGGCACGCAAATCTCCAACTGCAGCATTTTCCCTTTCCAGTGCGTGGTTCCCACCGCTGTACCACACAGGTTCCCTCGCGTTTCTCAGCCACATGAAAGACAGTTGCACTCCAAGGTCTAGGACCCAAATCAAGTCATGTCTGTTGTAAAACTTATCCTCAGCAAATAGCCTTGCCCCGGGCTCTTCGCAGAAGCCCCCATGATTCTGTTAACCACACGTTTCCTGCCCAGTCTTGCTCAGTTTCTGGCTCACCTGGGGCTTTCTCACCCGAGCCAGCTTTCCAGCTCTTTCAGTTATTTAGGTAGCTCTTTCCTCCGTGCTGCACCGGTACTGCGCTGTCACAGTGAGTGATGCCACCTGAGTACACCCTTTCCTCCACCGCGGCATGACCTCTGCGCGCCCAGGTTTCCCGACCTTCCGCATGGGTACCTGAGGATCTCCGCTCAGTTGTTTTTTAATTTTTTAAAGTTTCAGAGCACTTTACAGAGAATCCAAAAATGCAGACTTGACTTTCTCTTAGTGCTCCTGCTGCTTGGGGAATAAGGAAATAAATGATACAAAAGGATATTTTGTTAGACCTCTGATCACCCCCGTAAGACTCTATGCTTGGACGGTCTTTAGTCTGGGTGCATCTCAATGTAGTAATTGTCCCCACTTGCCCCAACCACAAAGCCCTTTTAGGGGGGTCACTTTTTGAAGATTACTCCAACTAGACTGAAGCATGAAGAAGTCGTGCTCAGGAGGCTTCTGAATCCTTGGGGTTAGGGAGATGAGTTCAGGGTGGAAACGACGCTCTCCGCTCTCCAGCGAGGAGGAAGAGGTGAGCAGGGAGTCGATGCTCCCACTCCTGCGTCCTCAGCCGCGTCACTCGCTGCCTTCATCCCTGTCGCAGATCCCCCAAACTACAAGACGGAAGAAAATCCATACGTTATTTTGAGAAAATTTTTAATTCTGAATATATTTTATAGTTCTTTAGCTTACTTGCTATAGAATTATAGTTTTTTTCAAAAAGATGTTACTTTCTTCGTCATTTGTCACCAATGATTTCCACTCGTGGTTTTAGAGCAAATGGCTCAGAATTCTCCCCTCTCCTCACATTTTTTAATTGAAACATATTACCAGAAGAGAAATGATCCTAAAATTTGGATCAGAAAAAAATTGAAAAAATTCAAACAGAAAAAATTGTGGAGTCAGTGTAAGGTATTAGATGAGTCACAGATATACAGATTTTTAAAGCATTGTTAAGACATAAAGATAAAATGCCATTCACAAGTCAAGGTAACGTTCTGAGTGTAGTGCTTGTCTTAGATTAACGTCTTACTCAACAACTTCATTCTTGTTTTAGTAGACAACTGCAGGTCTTTAAGAGTGGTAGTTTAGAGAATCATAGAAATATTATGTGACCTGGAGTTAGGGCACCCGGCTCCAGGCCTGGCTTGCAACTCTACGTAGACACAGAACTTTTCTGAGCCCTTGTTGCCTCGTTTGTATAACGAGAGAGCAGATAAGCCAGAGGACCTAAGGCTCCTCTTCAGCTTGTGTCCTGGACACACCTCCCTCTAGAAGATGCTTGCTAGGGTTGTTTGTCGTTAACAGTACCAAGGTAAATTCGGGTGTTTGTGACCGAGCTGGAGCTTGAAGGTCTCTCTCAAATATATTCCTCCCTCTCATCTCTCCTGTCCCTCTCTTGCTTGATTTCTTTCACACACACACACACACACACACACACACACACACACACACACACCCCTACTCCCTGCTAGTTCTATCAAGGCAATCATAGTTCACAGACAACCAACTGTCTAGTGGAGGTTATGTTTTATAAACTAACGTGGATTTTAAAGCCAGTTATCACTAGAGTTTAATGTAAACAAAACAGGTGTGCTTTTGAAATGCAGAATAATGTGTAATCATTTTCTGACGTTTTAATCTAACTCTGCTTAGCTTGGAAATGACATTTATGCTCTGAAATGTTAAGATAACCATTAAGACAAAGAACACTTAGTACATTTCTAACCTCAGTAAAACTTTTAGTAGTTTCAGTAAATTATAATCTAATCAGATTCTACAAATGCATCTGAATTAGACTTGTTTTATATTTCAGCAGCTGGACTTGGACTCAGTCAGCTTTGTATTTAACCTTTCATTTCCTCAATCTGAGAGTTGGTCAGTCTACTCAACAGGCATATAAATAACTTGTATTTATAAAGTTAAAAATTTTCTTTTCTGCTGTGAACACCAGTCACTAACCATCTCTTTCAACAGTGTCACACTGAGGACCTTGTGTGTTTCCTCATTACATTAGAACTTATTCTAAATCACGTGGAATCATGGCTATATATTAATTAGCACTTGATAATTAGCACAATGGCGATGTGTGCTACTAGGAACAATTAGCTACAGGGCCTTTGTAGTTGTGTTATGTTAACCATATAAATACATAGCTTTTAAAATTTATCTTAAGTGTGGGATTAAATACTTTGGTGACTTTGTGTATATTACTTATCCTGAATATGTTCTTTAGTTTGTTTTAATAAAAGTTAGAAATATCTCTGTCTCTTTATTTCTGTTTAACTCAGCTGTTAGTCCATTGTCAAATACTTTGTGTGTAGGTAAGAAAAACTGTCATCTTTGCATATAAATTCCAGAACTTCTTACTAAATTTTCCATTAGTTGGAACATCTGAACAGCTGGCGTGGCAACTATTCCTTTTGTGCCTTGAGTGGGGAAATTTTACAAATGGAAAAACTAACAGAATCTTTTCCAGTCCGACTGGCTATATGCCTG